TATAAACCAGCTGTAAACAGAGCAACTAACTGAATCTCGCCACTCTTGGGCATATTTATTTAATTCTGGCAACCGAAAAACAAACAAACAAAAAAACATGGCGCTGGAAAAGGTATACTGCCACACCATTCTAGCTTGCTTTAGATTTAACACCATCAAACACTTGCACTACGTGTTGAAACGATTTTTGCATGGAGGCCGCCATTGCTGGAACTAAAACTAATACCGAAGTGGATGACGGAAATTGCGGAAAATTCCGGAAAATAAATATGAATATTGCCGAAAAAAAGTTTAGGGTCGGGGATCTAAAATAGGGATGGTCAGGTAATGGGAACCACACATATTTTTTTATTTGGCCTAATAATATTCCATACATGATTGAGCTGTCACCTGATGAACCTTTAATTCTTTTCTATTTTTATTTTTTATATGCTTTATATGTATATGAATTATAAGAGTAAATGTAAGTCCAAAAACTTATTTTGTGACATCAATTTCATACCTGTATTTGAGTTGCCTTTTTGAGGATATACCGGGTAGATTATTCAAAGTCGATGTACATGTAGTCTTAGATGCTGCAGTTCTCTTGTACTTTAGCTATAAAATAAATCTTAATGTATACAATTGTGTAAGATGAAAGAATATTTCAAACACTGCATGAAACAGACCAAAACTTTAACCAAAATATCCTCTATAACATGCTTTCTAAACTGAAGAATATGGTCATATAATTGCAGTCATATGAATTTTGTTCAATGATAAATGCAGAGAGAATTTGCAGAATATATAAAGAAAGTTTTATCGTTGGGATTGGGAAATAAGCAGGTTAGTACAATCTCTTAATTTAGCTATATAGCTTGCAATAGCTATTTAGCTTTATTAAGCTATTCAAAATAGCTTGATTTAGCTATTTATATGCAGTTTTTCACAAAAATTATTTTGGTAAGAAATAGACAAAAAGTTGCATGTATTTGACTATTCATATATGTGCTATGGGCTATCGAAACAACAAGCAAAATCAAAGATAGCTCCAACTTTGCAACTTTTGATTACTTTTAAGCAAATGATAAATATCTATTATTTGAGTAACTGCATGTCCACTACCTTGTGTGCATTGAGGCATGGATAAGTATGATTGCTTCTCATTGAATGTACTGAATTAATCAATTATCTTGTTGACCACATTTGGCCTCCTTTATAAATTCATTGAAAAAGTAACTGTATCAATTGCATATGTAGCCCAAAAACTTTTAGAACTTTGAGTACAAAGTCTCTTTTGTTTCTATTTTCCTAATTATCTCCCCTTGTTTAAGGGTCACAACCCTAGTTTTAGTATAAACGGAAGCCCTTGGCCCAAGTATACCCTGTGACAAATTTGACAATAATTGGCCAAAGGGTTCTTGAGTCATGGCCCATATTCTAAAAAGTTTACGCACACCGCACAAATGGCCACAGCATTAGCTCTTTGGGCCTTTGGCTCAGAAGAGCTTAAAAAATGAACCTCTTACATTGATTTTTGGTCAATATTTTTTACAGTTTTTTGTATAGTTTTTTTGATGAACAATGTACAGTATTTTCACCCAAATTCCTGTATTTTGAGGACTGCTGTACAGTATTTGGGCCTAAAAATTATCACATGTATGCAAGGAGATTTTAATGAGTGAGTTTTAAATGCATCAATTTCAGATGAGTTCAAGGTTGAGTATCATTACTGCACCAAGGTGCGACTTTTTGTGCATGCTGAAAAAAGTATACATTTAAGAAAAAGTGTGATAAAATAGCTAAATTAAGCTATTCTGAACAGCTTAATAAAGCTATATATATATCTAAATCAAAAGATTGTACTGGACCTGATAAGTGCTTTCAAACATTGAATACTTAAAAAACTAGACCTACTGACATGCAACAGCTAAATTTTTGTTGATAAATGAAGCGTATTCTGAACAAATTATTTACCCAAACAAAGGTGATGCTGTCACAAGATGACGTTCGTACCCATCTGACACTTACACTACTCCTCCTTAATCAGCTGGTAATAACATCATTATCCTCGAATTCAAGAAAAATCTGTTAATAAATTAGTTGGAATGATGATAACAAAACTATTCTAATCAGATACAAAAGATACAAATGTATAATATAAGACTTCTATTTCACCCAAGAATACCCAAGAAGCAGGTGACATTCTCTGACTTGTTTACCTGTACTTCGATCGAAATTCTCCTCCTACTTGCTCGCACCCAAGCTTTTACGACTCTCAATTTATCCATCGTAAGTCGGAGAACCCTTCGGCTTTGTACAACTGCTTAAACTTTCCTGATACGCTTTGTGTAAACCATAAATTAAACATGCATAACCCAATACACATCTCCATGTGTGAGGTACCTGGAAGTTAATATTATCAAAAAATCTCGCGAGTCACGTGACGAGACTTACAGACCCTAACGCAGCCCGAATTTGCTTGGTTCCAATGAAAATCTAGATAATCTTGAGGAAGGGAGCATTCATTATTTGTTGTTGTAAGAAATGCGAATAGGTGATATCACCTATTCGAATAGGTGATATCACTCATTCAAATTGAATAGGTGATATCACTTATTCGAATAGGTGATATCACTTATTCGAATAGGTGATATCACCTATTCAGCACGAATAGGTGATATCACCTATTCGAATAGGTGATATCACCTATTCATTTCGAATAGGTGATATCACCTATTCGAATAAGTGATATCACCTATTCGAATAAGTGATATCACCTATTCGAATAGGTGATATCACCTATTCGAATAGGTGATATCACCTATTCAATTTGAATGAGTGATATCACCTATTCGAATAGGTGATATCACCTATTCGAATAGGTGATATCACTTATTCGAATAGGTGATATCACTTTTTGGCAGTAAATACCAAAACGGCGCCTCATACAATACTACTGAAGAAGACGTTTATATGGATTTGATCGTACGTGACTGACCGCATGACTATGCGAGATAAATTTTGCGTAGTAATCGCTCGATTCATCGTGCGATTGAACATGCCATGATCGTCACCACAAGTCACACAATTACTTACAATTAGTCTTGGTGATCCTTAGGCCACAAGTTTACCCTCACCTGGATGGAAAACATCCACTGTGCTAATGACGATGGTAGTAAAAACTGTTACTTTCGTCATGCCTTCACCAGTTAGTCAAACTTGTCTGAAGGAGATTGAAATGCAAGAGTCTAAATGGACACCAACATATAATAATTATCTATAAAGTTTATGAGACGATTAAATTTCTTTATAATTGAATAAACGAAAGTACGAGTATCATAGTATCATACATACTAAACTTAGTATCATACATACTAAACTACGACACAACTGTATTTTAAATTATGATCTTTATAAAAGAAACATTATTGAGAGTCCTAATTGTTCATGTGGTACACCAGAAGACCCATATCATTTCTTCTTTGTATGTAACAAATATCAACATGCTAGAGAGGAACTATTTAGAAACCTACTGTGTCTTATTAAACCAAACACTAAATTGAATATTATTGATTGTCACCTACTTCTGTGGGGAGATGAGTCACAAAATGTTGAAATCAATAAATATATTTTTCAATCTGTACAAAAATTTATAAGAGATTCTGGAAGATTCAATTAATTATTACAGCCTTACACTAAAACTCTAGTTAGTTATATATTTATCATGTAATGAATGTATGTTTAAAACAAATAAGTTTGTATATATCAATATTTTTTTTTCTCTATATATAGACCTTGACAGTTGTATCCATTTATGGTGAGAACCTCGTAAGTTGTTAGAACTTGTGTTCAAACCATTTGTATATTATTTATACAATAAAATATGTTCAAACCAAAGTACGAGTAATATTCAGGAAATCCGTAATGTTCTTCCAAAGACGGTGTGACACTTTGATAGTAATACAGATGGTGGCAGCATTAAATTAAGAGAAAAGAGGAGACCCGAAGGCCTTATAAGACCCCTCCCCTAACATCAAAACCACTAACCCAGGGGTCATGATATTCACAATTTTTAAAAAGGCACCTTTGCTCAAAACCACGCAATCAGTTTCTTTGTTTTTATACAGGGGAGAGAAGAAACTTTTTAAATAATTAATGCATTTTCACTGTATGATCATTAGATCCCCACCTTAACTCCTAAGCCCCTGACCCTGGGGCCATGAATTTCACAATTTAGGTTAAAGACTCATTGTATGTTATAATCATGACAACAGTTTGATTGCTTGATGTATAGGTTTAGAGAAGATTTTTGAAATTGCATTAATTTTTATGGCTTTGGATCAACCCCTCAAGCCCTCGGGTGGGGGGGGGGGGAGATCATGAAATTCACAATTGTGTCCCCCTTTGCCTAAAGATGCTCTACACCAAAATTTGTTAAAATTGCCTGTGCAGTTCCAGAGAAGAAGCTGAAAATGCTCAAAAGTTTACCACCGACGGACGAAAACAGATTGCAATGGGTCACCTGAGTGACTCAAATGACCTAGCTAATAAATATTCAACCATTTACTAAGAAAGGAGCTTAGTCTCTTCTATACTGGAATCTGCATTATTTTACAACGACACATGCTTAAAAACGCGCAATTTGATTGGTTGATAAAATTGTACGCAAAAACCCGAATAAATCTCCCGGAAGTTCATTTTGAGGTGAACTCACTCTGAGTTACACCTCTGGAAAGAGAATCTGGACTTATCACACACTATCAAAATTCCTGATCATTTAATAAAAGGCATAGAAGTATTTTTAAAAAAATCTGCTTTAAAATCTTCAACCTGGGACGTCGACACTGACTCCGAGGATATTAAATTAGCTCCCCCAACTTCGATCGTTGAGATAAAATTGACTGGAGGGTAGTAATGTGTCAACTGTGGGTTAATCTGACTTCTTCCTGTTAAACTTTATGTCAAATGCTTTGTTGTTCAATAAACAGTACATTCTACGGAGATACAAAGTTCACATATTTCAAATGTATATTTTTATTAATAAAGAGACAAAAATGTCATAGTCTGAGAGCATAGAAGAGTCAACATCAGAAACTGCAAAGAAGAAAGTCTCACACACTCCACGATTTACAAGATACAAATTTGTTACTATTGGCATTTTTAAGAAAAAAAAACTTTCATAGAAAAATCAATAGAACAACTGCATTGCACTGCAATTCAACTTATTAAACTCAAAATGAAGCCATACATCGTCAGATGAGTATAGTGTTGGAATTAGTGGTTTACAGTTCTATAAATCCAGCTCTGTAATACAGAAATCAATTTCCATAACACGCCGTACATTGACTTGCCCCACAAATTCAGTATAACTGAATTTTATGAGGTAGATTTGTGCTATGTATTATAGGCAGTATTTTGTAGCTGTTGGTGACGTCTTTGAAAAGAGTCTACGATTCTGAGAATGATGCTCTGACTGTTCTTTGGTGGATTGGTCCAGGGGGTCTGCAGTTATCTACCATACACTGACCCTCAGGAAATTTCAGTTTTCTCAGAATATCCATCTGAAAATAAATTCAACCAGCATTATCCCATAATCCAAAGAGAGACAACTCTTAAGTCCCAGTCACATTTCCAAAAACGACCAACGGCCTATGGTTTTTGAGGCAAAAATGGAATTCTTCAAGCTACAATCGGCCGTTGACTTGCCCGATTTTGATTTTTTTTTCCGTCGGCCGACACAATTTGCGTCCTTTGTGGCTGATCATCGGCAGACAGTATGTTAAGTCGGTTCGTCGATCGGTCGACTTTTCCAAAATGTCGGATGTCGGTGACGGTGCAAATTAAACTGCGGCTCAGCTCTCGGCGATGATTGGTCTACATATAAATATTTAAACTTTTGCAGTCGTCGGTGTTTCTAGGAATTAATGTGACTGCCCCGAGTCGCCCGCTACTAGTGTCAGTCGATCATGATTTTTCAGCCGACGAGAAAATTTTGGTTGCCCAACCATTTGAGTTATGTTTTAGCATAGATTTCCAATCTTGCCCCAGGCCTTGCAGCACAATAGACAACACATGCACAAAGAGGTTAATATTCTCAAGATTAATCAGCTTTCTTCTATTACAATCAGAAGCCTTTCTATTTAACTGTGTATATTGATTGATTGATTGTATGTTGTTTTACGTCCCATTCAAGAATTTTTCACTCATATAGAGACATCTGTGTATAAATCAGCAATTTTAATCAGAGGCCTTCTTGTTCAGCTGTGTTGAGATCATCAATTACAATCAAAAGCCATCAAGTTTAACTTTGTAGAGATCATCAATTATAATCAGAGGCCTTCATGTCTGTGTACAGATCATACATGTAGTATAAGGCTTCTTGTTTAACTGTGTACAGTTCAATTATAATCAGAAATAGGGTATAAATCTTTCATGTTTGTGCACCAGACATTGCTTTTCTACGATAGCCATCATTGAGTAAGGGGGATAGAAGAGCCAATATTTACTGCAATAATTTTCATAGAATACTGAGTAGTAAATATGCTCATTACTAAAAACAAGGTTAAATTCAGTAACTTTGCCTTTTACAGCTTAATGGACCCAATGTATTTTCAATATACATGTATGAACAACATAGTCCTGTCCTGGAGTACACAAACTGAACTCTGGGACAAGAATTAAACAATTTTGGTACAGGGTTTATTCCTCATTATAAACTTCTGATCAAACAAACATGGAATGGGAACTATGATTTGTTTCCCTTCATCCAATGCCACATGCCTAATACAGGTTCAGCCATTTCATTAAAAAAAAGGCAACAATGGACATGGAAAGGTTAACATTTAGTCAACACTGACAACAGTCAACAATGGACAGGGACAGAAATGAGCAGGGACAGTTAGCATTAAGTCAACACTTACAACATAGTCAACAATGGACAGGTAAGTTAGCATTAAGTCAACACTTACAGCAGTCAACAGTGGACAGGGAAAGTTAGCATTCAGTCAACACTTACAACATGGTCAACAACGGACATGGACAGTTAGCATTAAGTCAACACTTACAACATGGTCAACAATGGACAGGGACAGTTAGCATTCAGTCAACACTTACAACATGGTTAACAATGGACAGGGACAGTTAGCATTCAGTCAACACTTACAACAGTCTACAATGGACAAGGACAGTAAGCAATTATTCAGCACTGACAGCACAGTCAACAATGGACAGGGACAATTAACATTTAGTCAACACTTACAACAGTCAAAAATGGACAGGGACAATTAGCATTAAGTCAACACTTACAACATAGTTAACAATGGACAGGGACAGTTAGTATTAAGTCAACACAGACAACACAGTCAACAATGGACAGGGACAGTTAGCATTTAGTGAACACTGACAACAGTTAATAATGGATAGGGACAATTATCAATTAGTCAACACTGACAACATAGTCAACATTGGACAAGAAGTGTTAGCTTTTAGTCAACACTCGACAACAGTCAACAATGGACAGGGACAGTTAACATTAAGTCAACACTAATACGAGGGTTGTTCAGAAAGTTCGTGGACTGATGCGATAAAATTAATTCTATGTAGTCTATGGTTATAAAATTTTTAATGAACATTAAACAACAAAAGTTAAAGAAATTTTGTAAATTTTAGCTTGATACCTTGAATATTTACCAAATTATCATGAAATAAAAAAGATGTTATATGATCACCCGGCGCTGTCGCCATTTAGTCTCATGACGCCATTGTTTTTCAACGTCCGCATTCTCTACCTCATACACTTATCTTGATGAGTTTCCTTGGAGTTAAGAAAAGATTTAAACCCGTCTTGTTTATATGATTTTACAATGTCATAAACAGCTGATTTCAATGTATATAATATTGTAAATAGAAAACAGATCTGAACGATCCTCACTTGATTATAACAACATATTTCCTTGTCGGACTTCAACATCTATCACACATGATCAACGTCACTTTTCGACGTGACAAACTTTGAACACCCTTACTTCAAATCGACATTAACTTTTACATCTCTTGTCTCTCTAATCTTTTTCGCCGTTTAAAAACAAGTACTCTGAATGCATTTTATTTTTCAGTAGCCCATATAAATATTACCTAGGTCTATACCAGTTTTTCCAGAGGGTGAAACTTTATAAAATGTTGGAAAAAGAAACCCACCCCCTTTCTGACATCATTACAACCCCATAATTGTTTGGACATTTCATTTAACATTAGGATAAAATTTCATAGAACTTACAAAATGGGGTAAAAATTGCAAATTTTACGGTACAATTGTGTAATACCACATGAGTGAATTAACGGGATTTTTGAATGACAAATGCTCATATCCAAAAAAGTTTTTCTCAGTTACACTTAGGTAGAAAAAACGTAATCTTCGAGGTTGCGCCGCCTGGACATACCATTGCTTTCAAAAACATCAACAATTTATTAAAAAATAAAACTAATGATGTATAATTTATCATATAAATAAAAATGATGATGTTAATTGAACATTAAAAAATTCACTGATGTATCTTAAGCGGTTTTAATTTTATGGCGCTAGTCCACGAACTTTCCGAACAACCCTCGTAACCACTGATAACAGTCAAAAATTGACAGGAACAGTTAGCATTTAGTCAACACTTACAACATAGTCAATAATGGACAGGGAGTGTTTGCATTTAGTCAACATTTACAACAGTAAACAATGGACAGGAACAGTTAGAATTAAGTCAACACTTAAAACATGGTCAACAATGGACAGGGACAGTTAGCATTAAGTCAACACTAATAACCACTGATAACAGTCAAAAATGGACAGGGACAGTTAGCATTTAGTCAACATTTACAACAGCAAACAATGGACAGGAACAGTTAGAATTAATTCAACGCTGACAACATAGTCAACAATGGACAGGGGTAGTTAGCATTAAGTCACTTAATCAGTAACACTGTGCCGGATAAATCTGCCACTTCCAAAGTGGCAAATCGGCGCCCGCCAAACTCTTAGTTTACATAAAATCCATATATACCATGAGGTAGACCATCACTTACAGAGTTCAAAACTACCTTTGTTACAGGTGAATCTCACCTGTCAGGTGAGATAATCACCTTTAAAAAGAAAATTCCTATGGGAAAAATAAAGTTCCTGTAGGAAAATTAAAATTCCTGAGGGATATTATCAAAATCCTACGGGATTCGATCATTTCCTGTAGGATATTTCAGAATTCCTGCAGGAAATTAATTTACCAAGGGAGAATTTTATTTCCTAGGGGAATTTACCTTCCTATAGGAGAAAGAAAAATCCTGTAGGAGGAAAAAAGTCCTACAGGAAAAAAAATTTCTCCTAAGGGAATTTTTTTCTCCCTTAGGAAAATAATTTCCCTTAGGATAAAAATTCCCTTAGGAATTTTTAAATTACTCCTATGGGACTTTTAATATGTGTTATTTTACTTCTCAGATTGATAATATTGAGAAAAAAAAATCCCTTAGGAATTTACAATATTACTCCCTGTCCATATGATTTCCTTTTCCGTGTGCCTTCTTATACCCATTTTGATAATGTTGTATGAACTGTATTCTCTTCTCATGTGTGTGTGTATGAATGTGTGTGTATGTGTATGTGTCTGTTCATTCATTTTTTAATTAGGAAAGTAAAACAAAAGTATCTTTCCACTATCTTGAAAACTGATTGATTTCACCATCACACTTTTTTCTGTAACTAAACCAAAAACTAAAAGAACATTTATGAAAATTGAATTTCCATCATTGATGCTATTCTGAAGCATATAACCTTAATTCTCATAATCAAAGATGAATCGATGTAGTAAAATTTCCAAAAAAAAAAAAAAGGAAACATCACTTTTTTCAGAGCAACAGCAGATGTACTTGACTTGATATATGACCTAGAGTAAGACCATTACATGTCTAATACGTCGTGAAACCATTTACTCAAGTTTGAGACAATTTCAGTCAAGGCTTCGAGGTTTTAAGTGTTATAGTCAATATAAATTTTACCTCAATGAGTTCATAAGAATGAGCATTCTTCATGAAGTCAACCTTTCATTTATTTTTCTTGAAATTAACCATGATTAAGTTACATTATATCTTTATAAAACACCATGAAAATTATTTTACATTTATATACATGTAACTAGACACAGATAATTACCTGTTCCTGGGAAATTTCCATGTGATTCCTAAATATGATCCATGTGACAGTCTCCAGTAATGGTGGTGTGGTAAGAGAACCGTGGTAGGTCCAGTACTGGGAAACATCATCTGATGGGAAATGTATCAAATGATAACAGCATTGTATATTGAATCCTTCCACAGATAAACAAACATGTATCTTCACTCACAATGATTTGTTACAAACTGAGATTGTGAAATTACCTACTTTTTAACATCTTAAGAGGATCAAATGGTTGAGCGAGTTTTACGGATGTATATGCTTCTTCTATTTTGGGACAGACATCTGTAAGCTTTTTGAATTCTTTGTGCTCAGCACCAACCTATAAGCAATAGCAAACTTACAATTTCACTTCAGAAATTCATTTGAGTAATTTATTTTTACTTATTTCATAACTTTTTTGACAAGTTGTTTTGAAAGCTAGCTAGGTTACAAGCCAAGTGTAAATTTCCACACACTTGGCTGAAGCTACGGATAAATATTTCAAGTGAAAACACAATGCATTGTCTCTCTACAAGCAAGCAGATAAGAAAATTAATTTTAAGCAAGAGGCCCAAGGGCCTAAACGGTCACCTGAGTATAATACAACAATTTAGAGGATCCATAGAGTAAAAAATGAACTGAAAGGTGAAGCTTTGTTGCCCAAAAGCAAGAAAAATAGGGTGATCAGGATCAACAAAATAATAAGTCTCGTATTCATTAACAGTTCAAAAATTAGGTTCTAATCTGTTCCCCATTTATCACTATCACCATACAGTATATCAACAACCTGTCAGTGCTTCTGTACTACTTTAATTCCTTGTTGAAATCTCTTACATTGGCCTCTCTTGGTCTTTGATGAACATTTAAAAAAACAAGTTATTTTTGTCTCATTTTTATTTATCTATTACGTACAAGTCTACCTGATCATTAAAACTATAAAAGTACTTTTTCTATTATACAATAAAAATTCTTGCATAATTCTCTTATTCTATTAACCTTTCAAGTACATTATTTACTGTGATCAATTATCAAAAGTAAATGGCAAAGGGGAATAACTCCTCTCAGTAGAATACAAATTAATAGAGTCCTGGCCAGTACCAGAACACTTGACCAAATGGTCCAGATGTTCAAAAATCTGGTCAAAATACTCTTCCTTAAAAAACTTTTACTCTTTTTGCCTCTGATATGCCCAGGTGCAGAGAAGATTTTTAAAGAAATAATGCATTTTTATTACAGATCCACTATATTATCAATAGAGCCCCCCCCCCCCCCCCCCCCCCGAGAGAAACACCAGAGCCTCTCACCCTGGGACCAGAAGTTTGCTCATCATAAGTAATCACTTTGTTTATCTGCTTAACACTAAGAGCAGACAGGATTATTTAAGAGAATTAATGCATTTTCACTATATTATCAAGAGCCCCAGACCTACACCAGCACATCTGACCCAGGGGTCATGCAATACACTACTCTGGAAGAAGCACTCTTGCTCATCATAACTATAGACTTAGCTTCTTTGCTTTTTAACCAGGAGCAGAAAAGAATATTTTCAAAGAAATTTTGATTTTTCACTATATAATCAATAGAGCCCCCCCCCCCTTCCCCCCCATCTTCACTAGAACCCTAGACCCTGGGGCCATGAAATTCACTATTTTGGAAGAGGCATCCTTGCATATCATAACAATGTACTTAATTTGTTTAAATAATACCCAAAGGCAGAGAAAAAGATTTTCAAAGAAATAATTCACCTTCACTATAAGATCTATATAGCCCCACCCTAACACCAGAACCCCTGATCCTTGGGCCATGAATTTCACAATTTTGGAAGAGGCATCCTTGCTTATCATAACAATGTACTTAGTTTGTTTAAATAATACCCAGGAGCAGAGAAGAAGATTTTTAAAGCATAGATGCATTTTCACTATATAATAAATAGAGCCCCGCCCTATCACCAGAACCCCTGATCCAGGGGCCATGAAATTCACAATTTTGAAAGATTCATCCTTGCTTATCATAACTATGTACTTAGTTTGTTTAAATAATACCCAGGAGCAGAGAAGAAGATTTTTAAAGCATAGATGCATTTTCACTATATAATAAATAGAGCCCCGCCCTATCACCAGAACCCCTGATCCAGGGGCCATGAAATTCACAATTTTGAAAGATTCATCCTTGCTTATCATAACCATGTATTTATTTTGTTTAAATAATATCCAGGAGTAGAGAAGAAGATTTTTAAAGCATAAATGCATTTTCACTATAAGATCTATATAGCCCTGCCCTAACACCAGTACCCCTGATCCAGGGGCCATGAAATTCACAATTTTGGAAGAAACATCCTTGCTTATTATAACTATGTATTTAATTTGTTTAAATAATACCCAGGAGTAGAGAAGAAGATTTTCAAAGAAATAATGCACTTTCACTGTATGATCTATATAGCCCCACCCTAGCACCGAAATCCCTGACCCTGGGGCTATGAATTTCACAATTTTGGTAGAGTCACTCTTGCTTATCATAACTATATATTTAATTTGTTTAAATAATACCCAGGAGTAGGGAAGAAGATTTTCAAAGAAATAATGCACTTTCACTATATGATCTATATAGCCCCGCCCTAGCACCAGAACTCCTGACCCTGGGGCCATGAATTTCACAATTTTGGTAGAGGGCTCAATGCTTATTACAATCATGCCAACAGTTTGACTGCTTGGTGTCCAGGAGTAGAGAAGAAGATTTTTAAAGATTGCATTAATTTTTGTGGTTTTAGCCCCACCCCTCAGGCCCCAGGGGGGCAGGGACCATGAAATTCATCAATTTTTGTTCCCCTTCACACATACATGCCATATGCTAAAATTGGATGAAATTGGTTCAGCGGTTTCAGAGAAGAAGCTGAAAATGTTCAAATGTTAACACATGACTGACGACGGACGACGCACGACGAAAACAGATAGCAATAGGTCACCTGAGTGACTCAGGTGACCTAAAAAATGAAAGAAAAAAAAATGAAAAATTGACATTCCAAACTTCTAAATTTTATTACAAATTCAATAAACTTATTACAAATTTCATGCAAATGAAATAAATCATTTGGTCTAGACCTTGAACTTTTTCCTTTTGAGCATTGAAACAAAGCAGAACAACTCACATTGTCTTCCAAAATGTCAAAAAGATTTGCCTCCAATACCCTTTACCAAATTATAGAAAAAAAATGATATAATAAATTTGATATTATCCAGATCCAACCAATGGTTATTTGAATTTATCTGAGATATTTCCCATACGCCCTTGACTGAACCTGAACACCGTATAGCAGACATTTTAGCGGGGTGCTAACTATGGCTCATTTTAGCGGGTTTGTTACTAGTAGACAACTAAAATTTTAATCACTAAATTTGCCTCCTTGTTATAAATTCTGAATACAAGAAAAATAACAAATTACTTTGATCAGTCTGTTAACTGTTATATTTTTCATCTGGTATTGACATTCATTCAAACTCTTGCATAAATCGGTATTCAAACGAATATTAAATATAACTGAAACTACCGTATATACTTGCCTATAAGTCGGTCCGCCTAAAAGTCGGTTGTATTTTTTAAGCTTATATTAGAGGGCTTGAAACTCTAAAATATCAATCTTTTTATAGCTCGCCTATAAGTCAAACATAGAGTTTTGGACCAAAATTTAACTCCCAAAAAACCGACTTATAGGCGAGTATATACGGTACTCATCTAAAAGATGAACTTTGCAAAGTCATGGAAGTCTGTGTCCACCAAAAAGAAAAGTTCCACATAATTAATAAACAACTAACAAATGTATTAAAATTTAAGTGGGTCAGAAGAATTGCAAAAGAATCATAATTTAAATTTATTTTAATATTGTAAAAAAAATTGCTAAATAAATCAAACTGACAAATGACTGGACTTTTTGTTTAAAAAAAAAAGCCCAAAGTGAGGGTCAAACCAAGATACATATCATATCTATATCATATCTATATCATTGATATACAGTCAAATCCTTACTTTCATTGACCACTGTGCTTTCGAGGAATAGGGTTTTTAAACAACAATGAAGCAGAGCATTTACACAACGTGATTATTCTGGTAAAAGTTAATTTTTTATGGCCTCTGGGTCCCCTCTCCATTTTCTTATAAATGTTTGTTCATTTCTTTGATTAAAATGCACTCAAATAACATTTTAAAATCATGGAGAGATGACCCACAGATAGCAAATTTATTGAATAACATGTGTAAAAATGTACCATTTTGTACCAAATGACTCATCTAGCCATATTTTAAGGCGATTATTTTAGCAAATCAAAACACAATGTTGAGCAAATATTTTCTTTCCTATATCACAAGAACCTGATTGATTAATAGAATGCTAAAATATCATGTGTTGAATCAATGAAATTGTCATTTTTTAAGTGCACCCAGATTCCTACTGAATCCAAATCAAATGCGCCCTCATTCTTTTGAGTGGTCTTTAACGTAGGTTGCGGGTTTGCGGGCCTTTTAAAAGTGTCCGAAAAACATACCATGAAAATTAGTTATATGATTCCTCTATCTTTGTTATACATTCTCTGAAAATTTTATAAAATTCGTCTGCATCGTTTTATGTAATTAAATCCCAAAGATGCCATTGTTGTGGTAACATTTTCGACGTTATTGTATTGAATTATATAGGAAAAACGTCGATTTCGGCTCGTTTTCAGGCAAGATTTTTTTTTTTGAAAAAATATCATTTAATTTTTAAATGGTGCAGACGAAATTGTTCCCCCTTTGGTATCTTAAAATAGAATTGATTTGAAATAAATCTATGTTAAAAAATTAATATGTCTTCGGGCTTGTTTTCTCGTAATTTAAATGTAGATAATTGCTTTTACATGACAAAATTTAACATTTTTAAGAACTACGTCATAAAATATCGCAACGTCACGCTTGACGTCTTGAATATCGATCCGGGATACAGAGCAGAAAAACAAATTAAAATATTTTTAATTCACGTCTATCTGCTTTCATATGACCCACGAATCGTATCATAATAATTCAATAGCAATGAAATGATTATTAGACATGTTTCTCTTCTAATATTCTTTGTACGTCTCATATTAGTAAAAATTATCTCAAGGGACGTAAAACGACAATCAGTCCTTTAGTTTCTTTCTTTCAATGAATTTTCTTTATGTGCTGTTTTCTTACCGTTTCTTTTCTTTTTGTTTTGTTTTGTTTTCTTTTCTTTTTCGTAGATAAGTATCCTACATTTGGCTGTATATTTTTTCAGCGTCCTGGCGGAAAACGGTTATCCTCTTATTCAAGTATACATATGAAATGTTTTTATTTAGAACATTCAGCAATGCGCTCATAGCTACGATAACTTCTTAATGAATGAATTTCCGCCAAATATCGTCCCGGCTAAATACATTGTATTTTCATTATATATCCAAAAAAAATTATAAGAATAGAAAAATCAAAAGCCTGAAAGGCTTCAATGGCGTCAAACAAGAAAAAACAATTTCAAAAGATCTGAAGATAGCAATAGGTCAAGTAAGTGACTCAGGTGACATAATAATAATAATAATAATAATAATAATAATAATAATAATAATAATAAAAATAAAAAAAAAAGTTTTAAACAAAATGTCACAATTACCGGTAGTGTGGGGCCTTTATGTCATGGTCCGAATGGAGCAGGGTTCGAATTGACCAGACACCGTCGAACATGTTCATGCTAAATATCAAACTAATTTCTTTTCAGTCAATTGAAGAACTATGAAGGACTTCATGAATTTATACATTATTCTTTCTAATTGCCAACGTCAAAGCGTTGTTCTAGTCATTGCATCTTAACTACAACCATGACTCTGCTCTGTTACAAGTACGATCGAGTTACGATAGTGCGTGGTATATTGGAGGAAATGGAGAAATACAGTAATACTGATTAACATCATCGGTTTTTTAGGATAAAGTTGGTTAAAAGATTGTAAAAGTAAAGCTAAGATTTAGAAATTCAATCTTTTCAAACTTGTAGTATTCGTGTTTATGTAATTTTGTAATTATTTTACCGCCTGTTGGTTGTTTGTGTTACACGGTTATCATTCCAAAATGTTATTCATGTCATTCGATGCACCCTTTCTGTAGAAATTCATCCGCAACAACCATCATGTTTTTCTTGTGTGAAAATAAAACATATTATCGTTGTTTTGTAAAAGAATTAATTGTAGATACAATTAATGCAATTTTATTTTCAAGCTATTATTCATTGTGAGCGTTTTCAAAGAAATTGGTTTATAGCTATTGCTATTTTCTATTGCGGTTGCATCCACTGACACATTGGGTCGCGTACATCCGGTGGCGATTTCACCTGGCCGATCGCTAGATGACGTTCAAGCTCCAAGAGCTTGACGCCATAAAAAACTAAACGAACGAGACATTTTTAGAGGGTAAATGGGACGAGAATCTAAAAATTAATTTTATCTGACGTAATCAACAAGCAGATTTTTTCAAAATACTTTCAATGTATATAACATTAATTCGACTGGTTGGACATGAAAAGCAAAGTAGCGAATAAAATCTGTAGATAACAGAAGTGTAAGCCGTTACTTACACAGGCACTTGGGGTTTGGACCGCTCCCCCCCCCCCTTCCAATTTTTTCTTTTTAAATCTGGGGTCGAGTCACCCTTTTCCTATTTTTGAATTCTAATATGTACTATATGTTATCAATAATGTAACCCTTTTGTCTCTGTAGGCTGTTTTTAAATATATCGTTTTTGACTGATACATAAAAATGCCCCCTTCCATTTTTTTTCTTTTAAAATCTTAGGTCGATTCATAAAAAGAGAGATTTTTTCGTCGTTTAACTCACTTGTTAAACTTAAACTTCGCAGGATTATTTATCTAAAGCATAAGAAAACATGAATTATGCAGACATCAATAAATTTTATTTTACACATTCTTCTTCCGTTTCATATTTCCATTTAATTTTCATGTGCCCCCGATTAGTAAATATTTCGATTAAATCTCCCGCATCTAAGGGCATCTTTACGATCTTAGGGTAAATTGTCGGTATTAGAATACAAAAGTAGGAAAAAGGTGACTCGACCCCAGATTTACTTACAGGAGGTCAGTGTCACTCATAATTTGTATAAGTTTATGTTTCATAGTACCTTAGCAGTTTTTAATTTGTGATAAACCTTTAAATATATTTTTAAAATGTCCCTTTTAAAAATAAAGGTTAAACTTTTAATGTAATAGGTGTATAATTGCGAATGTTTATATAATGATTTCTTTATTAATTAAACAAACTGTTAATTCAAATACATTCAAAGGAAAAAAGGTCAGTTGAAACTTGTGCCCATATCGTTTCGCGATACCATGTGATATCTAATCAATCGCAATTTCGCGGACCTTTCCGACAAGTCGAAAATTCCGAGCTCTCCGGGATGCGATTGATAACACATAATGAAACGCTTTCTAATACTTCCAGTGTTAGATTCGGATCGTAATAAGCCTTCATTATATTTGATAACTTCAGTTTGTTCTATAAATAATATTACACTAAACCACCATTTCCAACAAAAGTTATATCTAAATATTGTATCGACTATTCAAATCGTAAAAAGCCTTCATTATCTGTGATAAGTTGTGCCTTAAATATTATAACAATATTCCACTGTGACGTCATAATCAAATGTGCACAAGAAAGTCGCCCAGACCATATAAGTTGCGTACCCAGTTTTAATGACGTCAGCAAACCCGCGACCTACGTTAATTAATAAAGTCTTTTGCCCATCTCCCCTTAAATAAACCACACAAAAAGTTCCATCTGAATATCAGATTTGTAACATACAGGTGCTTGTGGATAGGGCCCCTCCTTAATTATATACCCTGGCCCCAGGAAATTTCATTTATTTTCTTTGAATAAATTAATCTTCTAGCACATATCTATAATGCTGCAAACATTATTTTTCAAAGAAAAATCTTTGGGTTTTTTGTTGTTGTACTTTTCATATAAAACACATTGTAAATATCTAACAAAAAAATTATGAAGAAAAAAAACTGAAACATTTCGGTGCTGGGGTGTATGAATGGGGGTAAGGGGTGCCTTGTCCATATGCACTTGCACTGACAATCTGAAGATCAAATCTTTAATATCTCCATTTTTATTATTGTATTAGACAGAAAAGAGTCAATAACCTCATGTCTTTGTCAACAAACATAGATATGAATAATATGAATATATTTATTAGATACTGTTTTTCATACAAACTGTGAATAATATCACTTCTTATAGATTTAAGAGTCTTAAGAGTGAATGTTCTCTGAGAATTCTTAAAGTTTCTTGTTTATAGATGGTTTTCCATTGAGGTGATTTAAGCAAGAGTTGTTTCCCCATGGCCGCCATATTGTAGGTCAACATCCCAAGTTCCCTTCATTATCTAACCATGTTCAATTTGTTATACTGGGCACTGAGATGAAGGTAACACTGTTTTTCTTATGAACATACGTTTGTTAAAGCTTCTTTTAATTCATAATTTCAATATTGTAAATATTTTTTCCCATATATTTTTGGCATGCATGTTTAAAACTGCTCAAAGAGGAAGATTCACTACTTTGACCTACAAGATGGCGACCAAGGGGAATAACTCCGAGGCAAAATACGTCATATAGGAAAACTATCTATTCTGAATTCTACTCACATTCACCATGTAAGTAACAACAGCTAGACCATCAGGTTGATAGGCTGCCTCTAGGAAATTCCCATACTTCAAGTTCCAGTGAACAAAATGCCACTGTTGATGAGCATACATGTACATAAAAAAATATTTATACTTCAGAGTTAGTATTGAATCATAGTAAAAGTATACAAACAATTTGATATAAGGTCTTATGTGAATGAAACACTAGTAGGAATTGCTTCCCTCAAAACCTTGTTTAGTATTTCTACCTTTTTAGAATAATAATGTGAATATGACAATTACCATACATTTTATTAAAGAGTTCTAATTTTAGTCCCCAGGACTTGGGAGTTTTGTTATGAAATCTGTTCCATCTTTTAATGATCAAAAGATCCTTTTTTCACTCTTACCTCAGCCGCAAAACACTTGCCATCTATTGTATGTTCTGATCCCTTGTCATTAGTTGAGCCCCAGTGAAGATGGAATTGCTCAAAATGAAATGTATCTCGCAATGGGCCACCTGTCAACTCTGTCAAGTAAGAGGGAACTTGTTTTATGTGTTACAGGTATATCATATTTTCCAAATATTAAATATGTTGTTTTTTTTTAAATAAAGGTTTAATGTTACCCAGCATAAACTACAACAAGCTTACTCCTACTCTCACAAATCTAGATATAAAAATTAAATAATAACAAAGTACATGGTACATGTACATAAAAGCTCATTTACTTAGGTCATAAAAACATCAATAAAATATATTCCTGTTGTGCACCTGAAGGTTGGTTGATGTTAATCTTGAGTGATCTCCCTGTGTTATCTACTGTTGCTCTGTGACAAACTCCATACTTAAATTTTAGAGGGGTGTTAGCCAAACTGGGATCAAACTGAGCTTTGCTGGTAACTATGTCGATTGGAGATTGCTGATACCCTGCTCCGTCTGGAAAGTGCTGATGCCAAGTGTCTGGACCTGTGTTGCATCAAGATGTAATTACTACTATGATATAGTACAATTAAGTTTTTAATATTCGATCCCCAGTGTAATATGGAAAGGAGGGATGATTCAACATACATTTAAATATTACAAATAGTACATTATGAAAAACTGGTTGGAAGAGGAATTGAATCAGTGAATCCTGCGTAAGTAATCACTAGGTGCTCTAACCACTGAGCTACCTAGGCCAAAAGCCTCGGTTCATACAGACCAAATTACAACATCAATATCTAAACACATGAAAAAGAACTACAATAATAACTAGTTTTTCTGTAAGGTAGTAAAATCATTGAATATATTTTTAATATCATATGGGCTTAAAGCAGCTAATTTGAGTCAGTCTTTGCTAAGTAAGTATTTGATATTACTTACCATCTTTATCACCATAGCCCCAGTTTGTCAGTTTATCATAGTTCCAAGGTGGCCTCTGGTTTTTATTATCATGTAAACAGTGAGAAAATACTATAATGCACTGATCTGCAAAGGAACATATCTATTTGTAGAAAAAAACGATTTTAAGAAATCATAAAGAGCTCGAGATTTCTGTATACATTTGAATTCTAAAAAAAATCATTTATTTTTTCACTCAGATACTATTCAAAAGAAATATTTAAGATTACTTGTTTCCAATATACTCCTCTTCAACTTGTTAAAATGGCATTGATGTTGCAATGGAAATTTTCGAACTGCCGTGGAAAGGTGTGTCACGACTTTTCTCATGATGACGTTCACAGGATCAAATAAAAACTATCGAATAAAAAATATGAGTATTTACAATCACTCTATTACCCTAAAGACGAAATGAATATTATATTCCGATTCCTCGTGTTGACAATGTCTGCAGTTGGCCGTGACTTGGTAATTAACTTTTGGGCCGGCCTGTATCCCGATATACTATACGTATCTCAAATGCAAGGAGAGTGTTTCAAAGGGAACTCACCCATAAAAGTCACATTATTTAACAGCTGTTAAACTTGCAAAATTTTATTGTCAGTAATAAATTAATAATAACAAAAATACTGTTTAAAATATGTTGTAATACATATAGATTTATTTAATACTAGCAGAGGCCTTCTATACTTTGATGTTTTGAAATATACATACATGTTAATTAACATGCTTGTATGTTGTTTTGTTGTATCATTTGTATTCATATACCCCAGTTGGGGTCTTTGTCTTAAATAAAAACTTGAAACTTAACCATTTTATAAGCATTTTATGTAAATTCAGATATGGTACTCAGATGTTCATTTTTTTAAATTTATTTTTTTTTATTTTCTTTTTTTTTTAAATTTATTTATTTATTTATTTATTTATTTATTTATTTATTTATTTTTTGGTATTGTTCTTTCAGAAATTAGCTACTTATGGACTTTAAAAGACACTTTTAAAGCTTTTTTTTGGGGGGGGGGTGTAAGTTTGCAGATAAATTTTCAATATTCCAGGTAACATTCAGTGAAAAATAAAATTAAAATAAGGCCTAGCCTGGTGTTAGTCCATGAGACAATGAAAGAGTGATAAAGCAATAACTATCTAATTAGGTTGCTAAGGCTATATTTGATATAAAAAAATAATAACTCAATGAAATATGGAGATAACGAACAGTATTCAAGCTCAAAGTCCATTTAAACAAAACAAATCGGGAGCAGAGCAAACATGGACCTCCAAAAACATCAGAGGTGGGATCAGGTGCCATGAAGGAGTGAGCATCATCTGCCGACCGGTCACACTCGCCGTGTGCTCCTTGTCATGATCGGGAAAAAACGGGAAAATTCGTAGGCAATTCAGTGTGTAAATTATGGCGTAACAATTCGTATGAAAAACGTCAGTCAGCATTTGACTTAATGATAGGTTGTATTTGCTGACAAGGTCAATGTATCGACCATAAAACTTGCAAAATTATGACTTCAAACGAGTCTGTTGATATCCTTGCTTCATCATCAACTTGTTTGTCAATAGCTTGTCTCATTTTAGAAATGGTTCATACGTAGAGCATGCTCTTGCGTATCGAATCAACTGGGAGACAAAAACTCCATATGCAGGTGACAAAGGTATATTGCTAAGTTTACACTGTAAGTAAGGGAAGATGACGATAGAAAAATTGAAGTCATGACATTTATCAAAGTTTTGTTGGTAGGTTACCATTAAAATCTTTTTCTATTAAATATCCAAATATGAAACAGATATGTCAGATTCTGTAGTATCTTTTAAGTTCACTGGGATATATCGAATCGACGTATGAAAGGAAGTTACTATATTGTTAATTGATAAATATACGTTGTCAATAAATGTCGAGTTGAAGGCCACAGCAAGTGTTTTCTTCTTCTCATGTATAATGAATCATGTGCTTTGGGTATTTAATTGATTATGATGAGGTGATTTACATTATATGGTGTGGGTACTTCATCATCATTTTCCCCTTCACAATATTGATTTGTATGAGTTATTTAACTTTCCAAGTCAAAATGGCTATTAAGTGTATTAAGGTTTATAAACCCTCTGCTCACTCATATAAAATGTTGCTTTAACTGTAATCTCTCTTATCAGAGTATCGATGAACCCTATCCACGCCAGTTCTGAAAGGCGCCAAATTTATAATAAAGATGAATGAATAACAGCAACTTTTCGTGCCGACAAATTATCATAGTTGTACCGCGCAATTTGACCACACGGCAAGGTGTTTACAATTATATTTAAAAAAAAAACAATTGATGCTTAAATAGAACTGACATTTTTTTTTTTTTTTTAAATCTGAATTTGACCTCTTTTTCGTTTTCTGATGTTGAGTATAGAACGGTACAACATGATTTTTGAATTCTGACAAGATTATGACACTTAGTTAAAATTTCGGAGAAAATATCATTACCGAAGTTAATTTTCAGCAATAAAAGTTGAAATTCTCTTCAAAATATGTAACTAAATTTTGTTTTAAGATGTTAATCAAAAGTATGAGGTCTAATAAAACTTGTTTATACCTTAAACAGTGTTAAATGCAAAAAAAAAAAAAAAAAAAAAAAAAAAAATCCTGAAATCACCGTTACAGAAGTTTATTTTTTTTTTTTTAGATGAGACAACTATTTTACTCGAATTTGATTTGTTATATCGAAAATGTAATGATCTTATTTATCTGACTCAACATGTTACACTGTAGGTTCAATGGTTACTTTCAGGTAAGTTTCAGTTCATTACCAGATCTGCATGGTTAATGTTTAGTTCAAAACAATAACGTTACAAAGGTTAGTACATGCTATGATTTCGTATGAAACAAGATTCTATGCATTTATTTACAAGAAAAGGTTAATTTTGTTTTTATATAGGAAAAAAGCATTTCTTTTATATCCCATGTAATTAATTCTGAATGCTTATACAATTGAAAATTTCGTCTCGATATTTCTTGATGAATGAAGGAACATTAACATTTGCAGTGGAATGAGTTTTTAAACATTACATGTATATTATTTTCATTTTCAAAACTCGAACTGCAAAACTATAGTTAAGTATTAAAAAAAGAATTTATGTATGCTTAGAATTAGGGTTGAAATCGATCTTTTAAATTACAAACACGATGATACAATGGTAAATTTTCAAGCGACATGAAAAATTGTTATGTGGTCAAGTTTCGAATGAAATGAGCTGAATTGTTAGTTAATTAAAACTGAGGAAACAGCAAATGAAATTCAACCGTATTTCACATCAAAAGGAAGGGAGACAAGTTATGATTACCTTGGATGGTTTTTTTTCTTTTACTCAGTGTATCTTTATGAAACAAATCTAGCTGCATTGCCGAATTTCAATCTTTAAAATTAAATTTTTCCCCCTTACAATTGTATTGGTAGAAAGTAATCAGAATGTAATAAAATAAAAGTAATGAAGAAAAAAATCAGAAACTTATCATGATTACAGTAATTTTTGTTCCTGTAATTGATCAAATTAAATATAAATGTATTCTTAATGATTACTGTTTACATCTAATTACAGCAAAAACTACGAAAGCCCATTGAGCTCATTTTCGTAGGTAACAAAAATATATTTTCGCGTTATAACGCGAAACTTTCGCGAATAAACGCGTAACTTTCGCGTTATAACGCGTAACTTTCGCGAATAAACGCGTAACTTTCGCGTTATAACGCGAAATTATACATATATAGTCATGTTACTCAGGAACATGTGATCTTGACTGACAGATAAAAAACATGAACGCAGAGGGGGACTTCTATGAATTTATAAATGGCATTTCTTCAGAAGATGTAAAAGAGAATTGATGCGAGAAATGGATAGATTAGTGTTGATTTTGCATTTAATCTCAAAACCCTACTAATTAATTAAATGAATATTCCTTTAAAGATTTTCTTGTTTTTCACTTGTTGAATCCAAGAAATTCTGTAGACTAATTTTTTTCTCAGGAAGGTCTCCACTCGTTGCTTTCTTTGAATAAATTGTCAATGTTTTCGTAAGTAATGGTATGACCAAATGGTGCAACCTTAAAATACAATCTTGTATTTCTTCAGTGAGTCTATCGGAGATGAAATATTTGATACGAATATTTGTATCCAATTTTCACATTAGGTTACTCATGTGATGTGACACAATTGTTCCGTGAAATACAAATTTACCTCATTGTTGTCAATTTTCTGAGATCTTTTTTTTATTCTAAATAGAGTGTTCAATCTAATATAATTAGACTTGTATTTTCGCTCCTCTACTATACGCTTCAACACTTGTATTGAAGAGCATTGAGAAAGACAAAATGTGACGGCAAAAAAGATTTAGAAAGAGGAAAGACACATACAATGGCGAGAAAACATAAAATTTCAGCTCGTGATAATCCAAGTTCAAAATAGTCTTTCGTTTTTCACTGTAATGAATAAACTAGATCATTAAAAAGTAAAACAAACTGTAGACTTATGCAAATATCTCTGTTTTACAGGGAAAGTTACGAATTTATTCGCGAAAGTTACGCGTTATAACGCGAAAGTAACGCGTTTATTCGCGAAAATTTCGCGTTTATTCGCGAAAGTTTCGCGTTATAACGCGAAAAATATATTTTTTTATCTACGAAAACGAGCTCAATGGGCTTTCGTAAAAAACAGCTGTTGCAGTTGCATGATTAAAATTATAATTAATGGTTACATTTTGTCTGCTAATATTGCTACGCTTTTGTGAAAAAAAAGCCAATATAACTTAAAATATGTGGAAACAATATCAGACCTTTCGAATCGCGGGGAGGGGGGGGGGGTTAGTTAGTTATTATTATTATTATAAATAAAGATGAGTGTCTATGGTTAGTAGGCTGATTAAGTTGAAGAATATTTTAATTTATGTAGACATTATTTTAGAGAGGAAATACGAAAATATATGGGGTCCCTTGAATAAAATTCTTATGCATCGCACAATAGGCATTTTTTCCATACCATTCCTTTAAGTGTCTACAAAACAAAACTATCCTGTCGAGAATCTCTCAGGAAAGTTCCTTTTCTCTAAGCGAAACAAACCCGTTCCGTGATCATTACATTGTGACGTTGACTGATGCTCATGTGACTCATGCTCATCTACTAGGCCCCTCAAGTAAAAACGGCACTTGGATTTGATATTTGGTCATAAGGGGTATGTGAACAATATCACGTCAGTGAGCAGCATCTGTTGTATACACTATTCATCTGGACCAATGAAATTTCCAGATTTTTATCAGAGCTAGGAATCTAATTGATTTCCCTGACATTTTTTTTAATCCAGTAAAAATTGCGTTTACAAAATATTTTGTTTTTCACATTTTAATGATTTTAAAGCAAATACATAGAGGATATTCAATGTTTAGTAGTTGGATATGGAATTTATTTCACGAGTGGT